GATTATTATTAGTAGTTATAATTTTTGTAAATGATTGTTCGATTTCTCAATCAATTAGGGTGAAACGAAGGCAGTGGGGTCCTTGTAATTCTGACTGTCCATATCCAAATTGTCTAAATATAGGAATTAGATTTATTCCTTTCCAGAAACAGATATTATTTCGATGGATAAAGATTTTGTGTATAATCATCTGAATATGGAAACGATTGATGGCAATGAAAACATATTTGTTTGCCTTTAATAATGTCGAAAAGCGTGTCCTTCGATGGTTTAAAGAGAAACAAAGAATTGAAAAATTTAAAAATATATCTTAAAATAAACCTGTCTCAAATATGGGTCGAGAACCCTCAACTTTCGTGCTTTGATGTATATTATTTTTCCTTGAATAGCAAGCACTGAACCCCAAACTGCATTTATTTTAAATTGTGAAAATTTACACTGATATGTTTGCTTGTCCTAAAAATAATGATGTATCGTCTCAATCTTTCAGACATTGAGTATTCTTTATTTCTCATTGGTCTGTAGGAGGGGTGAATACAATAATGAATGTAATAATAAAGAAATACAAAAAACAATGTTTTCAATTATTATCTACCAATATATTAAGCATGCGTATACATGTTAACATCAACAGACATCATTGATCAAAATTATATCTGAAGAACATATTAGAATTTTAAAATGTTTATGTACAACAGTATACTTCTAAACAGAAAATATTTACAATTTTATTATTAATTTTTAATTATTTTTCTTGCAAGATAGCATGAACATAAGCCAAATTAAATTAAGGATGAGATTATGTACCAAATATGTAAGCATCTTTTGTAAATAATTTAATTGTACATGAATAAGTTATTGAGCAGCTTTAAAATTTAATTTAATTTTTTGACTAAAAACACCCTAAAATTATTACTATACGAATTTAAACTATAAATATAAATATTGTCTACTGCAGTATAATTTATTCTACTTTGAAATTGTATATTTTCAAGAATAAATGCAACTCATTTTAATAAACAAGTCATTTAAGCTGAAACAAATTTCTTTGCAAATACTACATGTTCATCGGAGGTTAGTAGGGCATCATGTCAGGTAATTTGGTAGGCGGAGCAAGTTATCATCTCGCTTAAGGTCCATTCTTGAAGATACAAGTTGGATATTTAAGGATCACAATTTTTACATTCCCCACCTCACCCCACGTCATTCCATCTGCCTTGGTGTATAGCTTCCTATGTTGTAGTTATTTTATAAATAACTGTAGGCATGTTACATCATATGAACATAACTTGTTCCAGCTTCATATAAATTTCTCAGCAGTAGTATTGTATTATAAAAGTGTTCACACCTGTACTACAAAAATTATTCATGTGTCACATTTCTTTCATGTCTTTGTATCCTTTGTTATTTGTATACACTTGAACGCATTTTTTTAAAAGAAATTTCATGTTACTTGTTTTGTGTTACATGTGCATATTGGCGGTTTCTGCTCCCAATTGGATTTTCTTTGGTTCGATGGTTTACAAATTTATATTCAGGTCTGAATTTCAACAAAGTACTATGTTATAGTAATTTTGTAAATAACTTTATGCATGTTAGATCATACGAACAGAATATTATTTTCAATGCAATTGTCACTTATGTGGCCTGCATCAAGCTGTCACAGCTCACAAATGAATTGTTTTTAGTTTGGTGGTTTACAAAATAACACACACACACACTCACACACACACAAACAAACATATATATATATATATATATATATATATATATATATATATATATATATATATATATATATATATATATATATATATATATATATAATCTGTGTGTTTGTGTGTGTGTGTGTGGCACAATTTTTACCTGTATGAAATATAATATTGTATATACAGACACACAAACACACACACATAGAGACAGAGACAGACAACCAGACAGAGACAGACAGAGTGCGTGTACCAGAATGAAATTGTGCTGCAATTGTCCTTTCTTTGCATGCCTAAAGATAATAGAAATTAGAATTCATTGCTTGGGTGTAAATCTTCCTTGCACATATGTATGGATTAATGTGTCGATGATTTATGCATTATGTATTCAAACGGAGACCACAATCAAGAAGAAGAAGAAGAAGAAGAAGAAGAAGAAGAAGAAGAAGAAGAAGAAGAAGATGATGATGATGATGATGATGATGATGATGATGATGATGATGATGATGATGAATATCATGATGATGATCATGATGATGATCATGACGATGATGATGAAAACAAAGATGAATAATAATAATAATAATAATAATAATAATAATAATAATAATAATAATAATAATAATAATAATAATAATAATTTTAGTCATTTGGGCCCAGCCATAGGGCAGGGTGAACGCGGCAGCAGCATTGGGCCCCACGCCTCTCCGCAATGCATTTTTTGCGTGGGACTTCAACGCTTGCTGCCTAGATCCCCGCACGCTGCTTTGGGCCCCGCACATCCTAGGGCCGGGCCTGTAGTCTTATCATGTTCAAAACGCCTTACCTGGTCAGGCCGCCGATATTCAGGAAATTTGAAAAATATCCGATATATGTCTGTATTTTTACCAACCCAAAACGTATCCGAGAGATGGAATAACACCGCATTACTGTTGTGGACCACATTTTTGTCAGTTGATAATATACACTTCCACGGGCAAGCCTCCATGCACTGATCTGACCTTTTCCGCCATGTCTCAGGTGATTCGCTATAAAAAGAGGTCCATAACAATATGACCGGTATCGAATTATTTTCTCGGTAGGTGTAGCTACTGGATTTAATATATTTCACATATCCACTGCTGGGGTAAGTCCGTGAGGGATTATACTGTTCCGTATTCAGTTCCATCATTAGCAGAAAATATAAAACGGACATAATGAAAATCAGAAGAAAAGCCTTGGATTTTAATTCCATGGTCAAGATTGATAAATGTCCCTGTTGCGTATTGACCTGTACGGTTGCCATTTTGAGCTCATCAGTTAAATATTCAAGTTATTCCTCCCGAGGAAAATAAGAAACTGGTATGTGAGTAGTCATTGGGTTCCAAGCCGCGCTGGCTCTGTTATGCATCACGCTTCAATGATTAGCTAACATAGCTATATTTTCTTTTTTCTAGTTATAGCACAGGGTGGGGCGACGAAAAGGTTATCATTAGAGAATTCGAAAACGCTTTTTTGCCCGAGTTTACTGTAGCAAGACCTCGCTTAGTCTCCACTATATTATATATATCTGTTCTAGCTGGTTCATTACATAACCAATGCTTTAATTCATATTGTTTTATGACGAGGGCACTTTTCCACCCCACGTCAGAAACTAGTTTTCGATATACGCTTATTTCTATCAGATTTCTCGTTGGGTTTTTCTTTCATTCTTTTATCTTTCTTTCTTCTTTATTTTTGTTTTCTTCCTAAATTATCAAAATACTGACATAAATGCAGATAGTAATTTTTATTGCTCACATCATTATTCTTGTGTGGTCAAACATGCGGTTCAAAATAATCCTTATATAATCATACTGGTGTGGTCAAATATAATAATCCTTATATTATCATACTGGTGTAGTCATACGTAATAATCCTTATTGATCATACTGGTGGGGTCAAACATAGTAATCCTTATTGGTCACACTGGTGTGGTCAAACATAACAACCTTTATTGCTCCTACTGGTGTGCTCAAACATAATTATCCTTATATAATCAAAATGGTGTGGTGAAAAATAATAATCATTATTGATCGTACTGGTGTGGTCAAACATAATAATCATTATATAATCATACTGGTGTGGTCAAACATAATTATCCTTATATAATCATAATGGTGTGGTCAAACAAAATTATCCTTATATAATCATAATGTTGTGGTGAAAAATAATAATCATTATTGATCGTACCGGTGTGGTCAAACATAATAATCCTTATATAATCATACTGGTGTGGTCAAACATAATTATCCTTATATAATCCTAATGGTGTGGTGAAAAATAATAATCATTATTGATCATACTGGTGTGGTCAAACATAATAATCCTTATTGGTCATACTGGTGTGGTCAAACATAATAATCCTTATTGGTCATACTGGTGTCATCAAACATAATAATATGTATATGATAATACTAGTGTGGTCAAACGTAATAATCCTTATATGAAGTTAAGGAACAAGTATTGATGTAAAATTGCAGAAATTACAGGCATAAATTGTATTCAATCATGACAGTAGTGCATACAGTAACATATAGTATATGTGTAGATAAATTACAAACATACATACGATCCAATACAGCAGTGCATACAGAAACATATCATAATACATGTGTTGATAAATTACAAACATACATACGATCCAATACAGCAGTACATACAGTAACATATAGTATATGTGTAGATAAATTACAAACATACATACGATCCAATACAGTAGTGCATAGAGAAATAATATATAATTGAACAAGACTTTATATGCGAAGGAGTTCTGAATATTTTGTTAGAATATATTGGTTTCTTTGAACAAGTCAGTAAATTTAATACCGATTGATATACAAATTAACGTTCTATAAAATTGCTTCCAGATGCATGTGCAGGCCAGACTACTTCTGATATATGCGTTTATCATAGCAGAGGTAGTTGACAGTAATGTGTGTGTGTGTGTGAGAGAGAGAGAGAGAGAGAGAGAGAGAGAGAGAGAGAGAGAGAGAGAGAGAGAGAGAGAGAGAGAGAGAGAGAGAGAGAGAGAGAGAGAGAGAGATTTGGATTTTAAACGTAGCTTTAAGCAATTTTTAGTCATGTCGCCACGATGTCTGCCGTGGCAGTTTATAGTGATGTCAAGCACTGGAACAACCGCAGACATGTAGCATGATGTCCCACCCAGTCACATTATCCTGATACCAGGTCGATCAGTCCTAACAGTAACCTCTTAATGCTGAGCGCCAAGCGCAGGCAGCTGTGTGCACGATTTTTGTAGAGCTTTGGTATGACTCGACTGGGGATCGAACCCATGGCCTACCGCATTTGAGGCTGACGTTCTAACCACTAGGCCACAGGAGTGGTCTTTGTCAGTGACATAAAAATGTTGGAGAAGGAGAACAATACTTAGACGAGCAAAGATCATTCCATAAAATCAGGACGTTCTCACAGTAGTCAAAATATCAAATCTGACTTGGATAAAATTACTGATGCAATTCGGTGTTATATCCTACAATTTTGAGGGGGGGGGGCATTATTTTAAAGATGGTAACATATCGATGTATAGCCATGATCTCGTAAACCGTTATCTGCAATTGGTGACGTGAAAGTTCCTGCTGCAAAGGCGGCGTTTGAAGAAGCTGCTTGCAGCATTGGAAGAAATGTATTTCATCAACATCATTAATTAGCCAGATGTTTATAATATCACAAAGGATCAAATGAAGCAGAGAATGTTTGTGTATAATACGTACCGCATGTGTTGACGGCTGATTGAAACAGACTCGAAATCGCCAAACATTAATAGACTGAGTAAAAACGTTTCAATAAGATTGCTAAATTTAACGAACAATGGATTTGCTTTGCGAACCCGACACAAGAGGCATAATAAACCTTGTATCAGGGAAAATGAGCAGAGACCATAAATTACCCAACTTGTCTGACTATAAAAAGAATTTTAAAAGGATGATTTTTCAGTGCAAAAGGCCATGCCGTTCAGTTACAGTATCCGACTCTGCTGTTTCACTGGACATTTGCATGACTCCAAAATGTTGTCAAACATTGTGGAATGCTAACAATTCAACCAGGCAGCGTACCGTCTATTTAATACATTACTATGTCTCGGAGCTTTCATCCGCCATCTTGACAGGTGCCCAATATTCAAAATTTGCCACATCCTTGATTTAACTTCAAGTTTATTTTCATTATGAAAGATTCATACTGGGTATAACGATTTAAAAGCCGTCTGGTAGCTGGAAATGCAATTTTACAGTGCATGAGTAATAAATCAACAAGTGAATACGAAACTGAGTTTTTATAATCGGATTATCAGACCGCGATTGTGTGTAGAGCTACATGACTTTAATGTATTTTTCCAAGAGAAATCCAATTTAAATATGTTCAGTTTTGTAGATATGATTTCTGGTAATGGCGATTTTGCACCTACATTGATGAAATTCAGTTTTATTGCTAAGAAACAATATCAGCTGAAATTAAATGTGATATTTGCTGCAGAACATTTGGTAAAAGTATTAACGTCAATAAACTCTTAAACGTGTTTTACAGTTGAAGTGCGCCACTTGGTTATTACCCCATGTATGTTGGTTATATGACTTCACGTGAGCACAGCAGACGCTATTCGTTAGATGTATGAGCCTATTGGAGGATACGTCATATTTATCAGAGGCGATAATGCGGGAGGAAGTATGGGTTCAATATGCTTTTAAAGTCTTTTTTTTCTGAATATACCTGCCCGTCTGTTTGAACCCCGTACCGATTCAATAACGGAAAACTTTAATGCCATAAAAAGCACACAAAACTTAGTAAATTCATTTACTTGTTTATTATATATATATATATATATATATATATATATATATATATATATATATATATATATATATATATATATATATATATATATATATATATGACTGGCACTAACAGTGGTATCCTCTGTACCTTTAATGTTTAATGGACTTGTGATACTAACACGGAGCCATATGGCGTACACTAAGCGCGATTCTATTCTTATCAGACAACAGAGTGAAGTAGTTCATCCTATTCTTTAAATGCGGATAATTCCGTAAATACCATTATGTTGAGAGTTTAGAGTTATTTCCCTTTGCGCACATGAACATATTAATTATACCAATTGTTATTAGATCAACGTGAACGGCAAATCTGTAGTTGTTATTCTTTTGCTTTGCCTGATTCTACATTGCAATATCGGAATCAGACAACGTAGTATTTTCCTTCTATCTACATACATATTTTCTCGTGGATACCATACCCCCTCTTTGCTGAGAAGGGACTAGTCCAAGAGATGGAAATGACTGGCGAGAAGGGGCGTCTCTTACACTGAAAACTTCTGTTTGGAATTAAACACGCAGGCTATAACTGTGTTGGGGCAGCCAGGGCATAATCAGGTTTGAAATTATAAAGCAATAAATAAACTGAGTTAGTTATATACACCTTTTATCTTATTTGTGCTTTTCGTCCTTTTACATCGGATTGGGTAGGATTTGCAAACAAACAGGTAGTTATATTCAGACTATAACGGAACTGGTAATAACTAAACTCATCATGGGATGGAAGAGAGTTTTACATTTTGGATTGTTAACTATATTACACGTAGAAAAACAAACAGACACATATACAAAGCATAAAACACAAATGGCAAATAAGATTAGTATCTCTCCATTTTAGAGACCTGGGTTGCCGAGTAAAAGGTCATGGAGGTGTTAAAAAATGGTGATTAATCTCATCGGTCTTATCCTCAAACGTCTTCTCACAGAGTCCATACAGAAAAAAGCAGGCTTAGATACCATTGTCTCTCCATATTCACTCTTGTCCTCTATATTGCTTCTGAGTTCTCCTTTTAATAGCATATGACGCTTTTACGTATATCAAATAGTCCGGATTAAAAGCATCCCTGAAACTTATGCCTCCACTCTAGCCAATATCTTAAATTGTGTTGGGATAGGTGAATGAATAAGACTGGATCGAAACAGATTTAAGTGCTCCACCTAGCGAAGTGTGCATTACAAACTTTATGCAGTGTTGGTTTCTCTTTTAAAAAGAATGGAGCGGAAGCTTGACGTCACATTGAGATTAAGACGAAACAGCCTTCGTAGGTTGATCATTGCGACAGAGTTTTAGTATGGCTGAAACAACGAAGACTATATGTGTGGAAGGAAAACTTGTATACTGGGAGAGACAACACTACAAATACTAATGCAGGTGTAATAAATCCGGAAGAGGATGATTTGTACTTGGCTCCTTTTTATGTGGTCTTAGCAAACGAATTGTTGCCAGCGATGGTAGTATCATCTTCACATCCTATTACATCGTTACCTTTGGTTAAACATTTCAGAAAGAAGTAGTAGGAGAAATCGGAAATATTTTTTAAAAAGTTAGTAAAAATTAGAACAAGTATTGTATATTCAACAACAGCAAGATGATGAAAGAAGAAAATAATATTAAGAAAAAAGGTGGAAAACATTGAAGGGTGAAGAAAGTGAAACAAATATCTGTGTGCTACAAGACATTTTGGCAGAATAAATATATCTGAGATAAATGAATCATACCTATTTAACTCAAAGAGAATGATGCCTTCACTTGCCAAGCTTTCCTTTTTTTATCACTGCATTCAAAACCACCGCCACTGAGATGTCAGCAGCAGCAATTCGTACTACTAAAGTGGCAATAGCATGATCAGTAGACAGTAGGACTTGACCGTGGAAAGGAGCTACGACAGTTAAATCTGATGATGCCAAGTCCATGTGTTTGTCAAGGCAATTCCCAACGGTCCTTATCACGGCCATTAAAATCTCTAAGAACGATTTATCTTAATGATTGCCAAATCGTGTAAAACTTAATCTCTTTCCCCGTTCTTTAATAATGCTCATATATTAGTACCTGATTATAGTATAAAAATCAAGACAAAGTTACGTTTCCTTTGGTATACTATTTTTCTTTCAATCAGATGAAAATTTCATAAGACATAACAAAGTCCATTTTCTTTTTTCTTCCTTTTACTGTCTATGCTTTTGTAAAATATCTCTTCATTATCTACTCATTGTTTTAAAATTCTTCCATTTATTGACTGGTACGTGATCTTCTTCTGATTTTTAAGAACTCTCTTCACTCCACTTCCTATTTTTGTTCTCTATTTTTAATGGACACTCGAAGACCAATGTTCTTTTACCTGGTTATGATAACATAAATGTTTACCTTAGTTTCTTTGTCTTTCCTTTGGTTTGACGTTGTGGACTTTTTGGATCCTAATGTCCTTTTTATTGATGGATAAAGGAATTATCTTGCTTTAATCTTGAAAGTTGCAGTCTTATCTTAAGTGTACTTTTGAAAGAATCTCTTTAAATCTCTGACCAGAAGGGCAATATGCTTTTAGTATTCGACCTAGACACAGTTTGAAAGCTGAATTAATAATATATAGGCTTAAGGCAACAGGTTTTCTTTATATAAAGTGATCATGTGTGTCACCATGAGCCAACACAGCACTAGCCAAATTCATATGGATGAAAGTGGGATAAGGGTAGCTAAAAGATTCCATAAGTAATTTGGCTATGCGTTTTGAGTAGAATGCCTGAAATGTTTTGGAATGATATAAATGGCCAAGGCTAAATCTGTTTAATATAAGATCTTTGCTGTTATACATTAATATATGACATCGACCGCTTCGTGATTATGTTCTGGTAACCTATGTTGTTACCATAATCGCTAATTTTATCAATCAGTCAGATGAAGTCTTATATCTTCATGTTTGGAGACAGAGCAGTGTGGATGAATAGCATGAATGTGTTCTAAACAATTCGACATTTTTTAAAGTCACCAGACCATGAACCGTAAGCGGTCAGTGTCAGATCATCACTTAGGACAATGGAGATCTGTTTTTCTTTTATCAGATTGTGCCAAGGATTATTGTCCACTCTTTCCAAGACCGAAGCTAATTAACACGTTGTCCTCCCACATTTGCCAGACGTCCATTATTACTTCCCTGATGACTTGCACATAATGAAAAACAATCCACGCTAAGTACATAACTTATTCTTCAAATCCTTTTGACTTTCAGGTAAGAAATTGTTTCTTACTCTACAAGTGGATATCACTTGGTTAAAGTATACCATATTTAAAGTATACAATATTTTGCACGTTTCCACCACAGAACAATATCAAAAGGACGACTCCTCAAGCCCATGAATTTTATCAGACGACGTGATCGTGTCTGACTTTAGTCAAACACACCAAATAATCCTCGGTGACATGTTAGTCATAGTCGAAGGTTAAATTATACATTGGTCTAGCTGAAAAATCCAAAAGATTTTTTTTGCTCATGAAACAAA